GTGTTAGCAATTGATTTTTTTTTTTATTTTTTTGATCTTTTCTCATTTTGAATCCCGAGTAACGATTGTTGTATTTTTTTTTTAACAAAGCATAGTCGGCATATAGATAAAGTCACAACTAAGGAATTTTTTTGTAGTATAACCAAAAATTAATTCAAATCACCAACGTATCAAATTTTTTTTGACAAAAGGATTTCATCTAACGCAAAAGAGGACATTATTTTATTTTTTTTAAATATATACTAGGATTTACACAACAACAATCGATACTAATCTTCGCATAGTGTTTTAATATAAGATACTCAATAATGTTTTGTATTTAAATCGTGATCTTTTCCGTTTTCAGTTGAGCAATACTGCCTCTTGYTCTCTTCGCTTTTTTTACGTGAAACCAATTTATCATTTATTTATTGAATGTATAGAAGCTTTTTTTATACTATTTTGAAATACGAGCTTGGCTGGAGGAGTATGAAATATTTTTTTCAGCTTCAAACAATAAGAATGTAAATATTGGGAGTTAATGGAATTTTTTTAAACCTTATTATTTTACTATATACAAATGCTCATTGTACAAGCTTTTTTTAAAGAAAAAAACACCAACGCTAAATATGTTTAAAACTATACCTTTTTTTTAGCATGAACTGATTGAGAGATAAGTCGCAACAAGAAAAAAAAATTTTTTTACACAACAAGATATGGGAGATAATGGTATATTGTGCGCTATCTTTTTTTTTCCAAACAAACTTCCAAAGTTTCTAAACATATCCTTTATAGACTTTTTTTTGACAATTCTTTTTCTTCTTTCTTGTATTTCGATAGCAATGTTTTTTTTTTTTGTTAAATGTGCTTATTTTTTGTATGTTATTTATGTAAGAGTTTTTTTAGGAGATCACCTACAGTGTTTTCCTTCTCAATTGTAACAATTTTTTTTTTTGAGCACTTGATATTCTCTTGTAATAAAAAAACGTCTCTAAATTTTTTTTYTTAAACAGAAATTTTCTAATATTTTTTTAGTTGAGCTGGAGTTTTTTTTACAGAATTTTCATTCTACATTAGATTTAGGAAAGTTGACTTAATTTTTTTAATTCGATATATTCAAATTATTAAAGAAAGGCCAAGAAGATATTTTTTTTATTAAATGGTTGATATAATTTTCTCTCTGTGAAAGTTCATCTGTTTTTTTGCCATTTCGATCAATGAATATATTAACTTGCAAAATTGATTTGTTTTTTTAGGCAATAAGAGGATAAAAGCGATTCCGAACATAAGCATTTTGTTTTTTTTTTTTATTTTCAGGTACTAATGCACATTATTAATAGATTCCTTTTTTTTTTTTGCTTTCTGAGCTGCCACTATTGATGTTAAAAATTCCTTTTTTTTTTTTTTGTTGATGTAGCCCAATCTATTCGCAACAAAAGCTCCCCTGTTTTTTTTATTACATAAAACTGTTTGGCATCCCCAAAGCAGTTTAAGGGCTTTTTTTATAGGTTAAAAGAAACAATGTTGCAAGAAAAGTCTTAGTCATTTTAATAGAGCATCTGTTCATTTTAAACAGTGGCCGGACGGTGTCAACCACAATGGCACCTCAATTCATTTTTCTTTCTCTGTTGTTCGGTGGGATCCTCATTTTTTTCAAATCTGAAGATTCATTTGAACAAATCTCCTTTGAATATCAGTTTTTTTAAAAGTTAAATCTCACAAGATCAGCCAAAGGACAGTCCTATCATTTTTTTAACAAGATGGAATGTTTCACCAAGTGCACTAATGTTCACTGGTTTTTTTTGGGTAATTTCAAGACCACTTCAGAACCCAATGGTCTTCATGTTTTTTTTTTTCTACCTTCTGATCGGTTCACTGAGAAGAACACTTTGAAGGATTTTTTTGCATACTTGCACTTTAACATTAAGGTAACCTAGTCTTTTAAATTTTTTTTTGTAAGGAATAAAAACATTATGTTTAGAATATTGTAGTCCCACTTTTTTTTATTTTGCGTTTAAACCGATTCCCTCAACATCGATCGACGTCGTTTTTTTAGAAGGGTTTAACGCAGTACACGCATCATTTCCATATTTGGGATTTTTTTATAGTTGATAGAAGATATTGCTATTGTTCTCAATTCTCTTACTTTTTTTTCTCTTGCTTTATTGCTCTTGCTTTTTCTCTTGCTCTTGCTCTCTTTTTTTCTTGCTCTCTTGCTCTTACTCTTGCTAATGACCTCAATTCTCTTTTTTTTCTTGCTCTCTTGCTCTCTTGCTATCTTTCTATTGTTCTCAATTTTTTTTTTCTTGCTCATGCTCTTGCTCTCTTGCTCTCTTGCTCTAGCACTTTTTTTTAATTCGTCCGTCAAAAATTGCCACATTTTCCCTATTTTCAGACTTTTTTTCACAGCAAGAACAAGCCATGCCTTAACGAAGGCAGGTGTGTCTTTTTTTTCAGTACCCATCAATGTCAATGTGAAAATGGGTATCATGGAGAATTTTTTTAAAAAGGTATATAGTAATTTACTTAATTCATGAAAGTTCAATCTTTTTTTATAATAATGTAAATTAGTCTCAACCAATCTACTTTCTTCGATTTCTCACAAACTGAACCCTTCTAGAACGCCATTTTATTCAAAAGATAGCATGACACAGGTTTTCTTTATTAAACTAGGAAACTAATTTGAACCGGCCATGAAAAAGTCTCAAGAAGAGAGCGTTCTATTGTTCAAATCCGAACATTCATTTTGTTTATTCAGTTTTTGCCAAAACCACGTGAGTTGAAAACTAAGTTTGTTTTTTTTTATTATGAATTAGAATTTTATTTTCTCGTGAGACATCTTTTCATTTTTTTTAGATAAAACCGGTATCTCTGCGCGGGCATGGAATATCCTCTATTTATCATTACTTTCGAAACGTTTTTATTTTTACACACAGGGTCATACTAGAATAGCGGCATCGAAATAAGGGTTGCATGTTCGAGTCTGGACTCGAGCACTTTTTTTCCATCGTTTTCCTTTCTTTTTTAACTTACATAGCCATGTTTATTTTTTTTTGTGGATATTTGTTTTATTATTATTTCGAGTCTTTTTTTTGTTTTTTTTTCAAGATCGTACTCGAATAGCGGTTTCGAACTGACTATCGCGGATTTTTTTCTCGACTCGAGCATGCAGAGCTTCCAAATAAATCTTATTTCGGACGCTTTTTTCTTCGTCTCTTTTTTAACAGTAAATAGACTTGTCCTTTTTTCTTTCTATATTGCGAAGTAACCTTCCAACTTTTAAACTCTCAGAGTGCATTGCGAATGCATCTCCAGCATAGCACCGACTTGAAAGGCTTGCATTTCTATTTTTTTTTTGTTGATGATTGTATGAATTTCATTCTAAAATACATAATTTGGATTTTCAGAAAGTTCAACAGCTACAAGTGGTTCTCCATACAGTGAGTATTTTTTTACATAGAGCTCTCCCTCCTAACTATGTATTCATTGATGATGGCTTTTTTTATAGTGATTAATG